ACTGCTGAGGGGAGCAGCGGGCGGGTCAGGAGAGGTCTGCCACGCCATGTGGTCACCTCCGGGGCAGGCGGGAATCGAACTCATGAGGAAGCGGCTTTAGATTCTCAGTGCTGTGCTTTAACCCGCTGCGCCACCAGGGAGGGCCTGGTTTGTTAATTTTTAAAAAAAGGTTTACTTATTTACACATACAAGAACTGGGGTACAAATCAGAGGTGGGGGTATGTGAGACGATTCACTAGAGACAGAGTGGGGAACAGAATAGGCAGATAAAGTGAAATACACCACTGAGGGAAGCAGTGGGTGAGACAGGAGAGGTCTGCTGTGCCATGTGGGCCACCTTCCTGGCTGGGGGTCCTGGGATCAACTTGCTACAGTGGCTGCTGATAGCTTCATAGTGCTGAGACTTAAGCCCTTGTGCCACCAGGGAAGTCTCTTAACTGATTTTAAAATGTCACAACTGGCATAATAATGGTATTTGGAAAGAAGTTATTTTTTGCATAAGAAAACATTGGATAAATTAACATCACTAAAGCCAACGGAAAGGAACTTTTGGCATACCTTGTCTTCTTACAAATAGTTTCACCCTGATTCTTCCCCATTCCTGAGCCAGATCCTTATGATATAGATGTCAGTATCATCTTTTTCAGCATCTATAAATGTTAAATTGTTGAGGTAAGTCTTCTAATTTCCTCTTTGTAAGTTAACCAAAGATATTAAATTTTCTAAATGTGAAAAGTATCTATTTTAGAAGAAAATATTACATTCTAAAAGGTCAACAGTTTTAGGTAAAATTTAAACACTTAGGAAAGATTCAATGAATTAAAAAATATTCTTACAAAACAAGTCAAAATGAAGTCTCCCCCTTGTGTTTCAGCATAAACACAAAGACAACTTAAGGATTAAAAATTTACTGGAGAGTATTTTTTTCTTTTCTTTTTTCCATCTCTGACTTTATTTATTTATTTATGTTTACACCATAAACATCATTTATTTATTTAATTATTTTTTTTATATCATTCTTCATTACTGGAGAGTATTAAGTTACAGAGATGAGAACAGGTATAGATGAAGAGAAGATATCTGGTGGGGACAAACCCAATTTGTCTCTGAAACGCTCATATTGTAGTCTAAACCTGCAAATTTAGAATATTCTAGAAAACACAAGGATACTCAAGTACACATTTCACCAGCCAAGAGAGCGCCTGTAAGTCATTTATCCTCTTGAAAACTCTACACTGCAGAGAAGGTGACAACATGGACAGTAATATTACAATATAAGTTTGATTTGGTGGATCCCTTCGAAGGGTCACCAAGACTCAGAAATCACCAGCTCACACTTCGAAACCTACTGCGCTAGAAGTCTGTTTAAGGGAATAGCGACGGAGAAGACAGGAGGCCTATTGAGAGAGATTTACAGAGCAGCAATTGTCTTCATTTGTAAAATGGAAAAGAACGCAGTGTCGTGCGAAGGTTGGCCAGAAAGATCTATCCTGGTCGGGCGGGTGAGGGACATCAGCTCCAGAAAAGTGACCTTCACCCTGCGGCCGCCGATCGGGAGCCGACCAGGGGTGGGGGCCCCTCGCCGCCTCCCCTCCCTGCTGCGCCCCAAACCCTAGAAGTAGAAGGATGGGAAGCGGCAGGGACCGGCGGGCTCCGCAGGACAGACACGCCGTCATTCACCACCACCAGGGTCCGCGGCGCAGCCAGGGCCAGACGCGCGCGTGGCCCCGGGACACGCGCCCGCCTCGCGGGACAGCGGAGGGAAGCCGGCTGCTCGCACGGCCCGCGGGTCCGCAGCGAGGGTCGACCGAATGGGGACCAGCAACGCCACCTCTTGCTGCGGTCTCTGGCAGAGGGAGACTTCAGGGGACCACAAGTAAGAGGGAAGGGTCGGAGCGGCTTCCTCTGGAAGACTTCGAGGTTCGCGGGACCCGGGGGTTGCCTTCCAAATCCGAACAATCTGTGTCCACTCCACGGGTCAGCGTCTGCTCACCGCCTGGCGAGGGCTCTTCTGGCGCGGACTCTTGCGCCCCCGGCGGCCTTTCCGAGAATTACATTGTTCTTGTGCACACGGGACCGAATAAAGATTTCTTCTTCAAACAAACAGGAAGTGCCTACGGAGGCCGGGCGGGCGGCTGGGCAGGGGCCGGGCATGCAGCCGGGCGGCGGCCGGAGCGCGGGCGGCGATGAGCGACATAGTAGAGAAGACGCTGACGGCCCTGCCGGGACTCTTCCTGCAGAACCAGCCGGTTGGAGGGGCGGGGGCCGCCAAGGCGTTCTCTTCGCGTTTGGGCAGCCTTGTCCGCGGCATCACCGCGCTCACCTCCAAGCACGTAGGTGCCTGCCGGGCGGTGAGGTCGGGGCGCCGCGGGAGGCCCCATGCGCTGAAGGCCCTGGGTGGCGCGGGCTCTGGGTCCCCTCCGGGGGGCTCAGGGGCGGTGTGTGTCGCTACGTCCTGGCGTCTCTCTGGAAGTGTCACTTTCCTGCCCTGACGAACAACCGGGAGGCCGGGTTTCCACAGTTGGCCCTGACACTGACTCATTAGTATCTGGGGCAAATCTCAGATCTCCGAATTTCCCTGTGTTTCCTAAACTTCGGAGTGGGAAAATACCTAACGCATTTCATGGGTTGTTTCGGGGACGAGACGTCAAGGGAGTGAAAACACCAGGTGCGATGGAAGGGTTGGCATTAAACACCTGTGAAGTTTCTTTCCCTTTTTCTTTCCCTCTCCCAGTCTCGTCAGTTACTAGCTGTCACTGTTATCTTACTCTTTGAATATCTTTAGGGCCCTTGAATTCTTAGCTTAGACCAGTGAGGTGAGCAAAGAAAAAAGTATCATTCTTCCAAAATGTAAAATTTGCTGAGTAAGTCTCTGCTTCAGGATGGACTTGGAAATGAGCAGTGATGGAAGTTAAGTTCCCACAGACTTTTTTTTTTTTTTAAAGATTTATTTATTTGTACATACAGAACTGGGGTACAGGCCAGAGGCTCAGGGGCGGTGAGAGGCTTCACCAGAGACAGAGTGGGGAGCAGAACAGGCAGATCGACGAAGTACACTGCTGAGGGGAGCAGCGAGTGGGTCAGGAGAGGTCTGCCACGGGTCAGGAGAGGTCTGCCACGCCATGTGGTCTCCTCCGGGGCAGGCGGGAATTGAACTCATGCGGAAGCGGCTTTAGCTTCTCAGTGCTGTGCTTTAACCCGCTGCGCCACCAGGGAGGGCCAAGTTCCCACAGACTTTTAATGGTGGCATTAATTGTTTAAAATACTGCAGTTTCAGAGTATATCTCAAAAAGATCATGTATTCACTAATACTTTCTTCAAAAGAGATGAATGCAGGGAGTACAAGTGCCATGTTGGTATAGTTGTTATTCGGTGTGTGAAAGACATAGGAAGTGAGGGGAAGGATGTCAAGAATAGGAAGAAAGTGCTGGGCAGGGACAATACGGAGAAAATTACTCTCAGGGTAAAAAAGATTGATTCTGTTTCCGTCGTCTTAGCCTGTTTTCTACTTCATGAGGACTCTGATAAAGGGAAAATACAGGAAGAATTTATTTTCTACTCTCTCTCCACTGTTTCAAAATTGTTTTCTGCTAAATAGTCCTTGGAAATAGTTACTCTTTCTGGATGATGATTCTGAGGTTTGGCGAAAAGCCTTCAGACAAATATTAAGCACATCATTTCTGTAACTCTTAAAATGTTTTAAATTGAAAATATTTTAAATTATAATTTCCATTAAAACTTGTTATATGTGTCTCTAAAAAATGTATTTATTTATGCATATAAGAACTGGGTTCGGGGAAGGTGTGAGAGGATTCACTGGAGAGTGGGGAACAGAAGAGGCAGACTGACTGAAATACAGTGTTGAGGGGAGCAGGGGGAGAGACAGAGGATCTGCTGCACCATGTGGGTCCCCTCCCTGGCTGGGGATCAGACTCTGCTGCTGTGGCTGTGGATAGCTTTTTAGTACTGTAGTGCCTTAACCTGTTGCTCCACCAGGGAGGGCCTTATAGCTGTCTTTTAAAAGATAATTATTAAAACATTTAAATATTTTCACATTTTCAGGAGGAAGAGAAATTAATCCAACAGGAATTGAGTAATCTGAAAGCCATGGTTTCTGCTCCTTCTACGACCCTGGTGAGTTTTCATAGTCAATGTTAAATTGTTAAATGTTAAATTGGAAATCTGGCCTACTGTGGACTCATGAGTGGTGTGGAATTGGTTGCTAAACTCTAATTTAGTACAGGTGGTAGCAATTCAGACATTAACATTAGTCTTTTATTATTTACTGTCTGCACTGGATCAAGACTTACTTGATTAATGTCAGCTCAGTGCCCATGTGATAATAATTGGATGAATGCAGTGATGGTCCTGGGCCCCCACTGTAAACTGTTTTAATATTGATACTGGGAAAACTATAAGCTATATCATTTAAAATTATATCTATCTTCAGATCTAAGTTGATAGACCGTAGCTGTAACTTTTGTTTTACTGTTACATAGATTTCTTGCAGTATTAAGTTGGTTGACAAAATGGAAATAATGTTTTTTCTTTATTTGCTGTAAAACTGAGTATATTGTACAACAACTAAATTCATAACGAGTAGTTTTCAACTTGGTTCCATATAATTTCACTTTTTAGATGACAATCATTTAATAAGAGACTTCTTATTATGTAGGCCATTGTGGGACTGTCCTTACATAGTTAGGTTAAGACCTAATTTTCTATTAGGTTTTTTTTTTTTTTTCCCAAGCAACATTTATTCAGCAAATATTTGGCATTTTTGTGTGTAAGTGCCTGGGAGTTTTCTCTTTCCTCTAATAAAACTACCTGTGTGATCATTTTGCCTGAGTATATAACATGTATTTGAATAAAACTTGTAAAGTCTGGAAGAATGTTTTAGGCTGACATGGTTTCTCTCTTTGTTAGATTTCCATTTTCTACAGTTGGTGGTAGTAAATGCAGATTTTGCTGCCAGGCATAATCCTGCTAAGGGTAGTACTAAATAGGCAGAAGTTTGGGAGGCAGAAGTTTGGGAGGAAGAAGTTTGGGAGTCAGTTGGGAAGGAAGGTTTTATAAGTGATGATGGCCATTCAGCTTGGGCATTCCTTACAGAGTAATCTGTCCCAAAGGTAGTCATATAACGTTGGATGACGGTTTGACAGAGAAATTGTGAAAATAATTCCTGCTGTGGAGAATGTGCTTTCTTTTTTAAAAGTAAGTGAACAATAGTGTATGCAATATAATTATACTTAAAGTACATAAAGACTTTTTAAAAATTCTGACACAGAATGTAATAAAATCAGGATTGATACTTAGTGTTTTAAATAAACACTTTCACACCTCTAATTGTAGAAACCTTTGCGAAGTTGCCAGTATCTTGTAAGCATTTTTCTCAGTATTTGGTAGTCTTAATTAATGTGTTAATGAATTTAGTTGTGTTCCTTTAAACACAAATGACCTGAATTAAATTTTATTCCCCTAAGATTTTCCAATGGTTTAAAAAAATACTCCTTATTTTTACATATAGATATAAATACCCAAATAAATGTGTGAAATATTAGACACTGTCACCCTTTAAACTATCTTGCTTGTTTCCTAAGCATTTTGTGATACAGTAATCCTGTAATTATGTTTTAGATAAACCCTAAATTATGTTTTAGATACTAAAATAGTATATGTGAATATATTTTTTCCTTATTTTTTGAAACACAGGCTTTTTATTTCTGATACAAATGTGCTGTAAATTTTGAGAGTGCAAATATTATACTAGTAAAACAAAATTATAAGCAATTAACTTGTGTTATAAGTATTGAAAGACTCAGTTACAAATTAAACATTGAGTTGACTATACCATTAAATCATACCCTGTAGTTCATGATAATTGTTGAAAAAGAAAGCAGCTATTGCATATTTTATATGGTATAAATCTCAAGAAGTCCCTGTACAGTGTGAGCTTTTTTTTAATTTTGTCTAAATTTTTTTCATACATACATATTTTTTTTTTCAAAATACAGTGTAAACTTTTAATGTGAAAATTATTTTCATTACAGAAATCATTACTACCTTGTGGAAATTGTATGGCTCTTTACTTGATAACATATAGTAAAATGATATGCCAAATTTTAGAAGCCAAGTAAAATTTTTCATGGGTAAAATTATGACCAAATTTTATACTAGCTATAGTTTGTTGCCATCAACAAGATACTGGAATAATTTTACTAAAATGAATGTTGTTAAGTTGGGGGTCAAATTTTTATTCATAGAAACACTGCTATTTAATTTTTATTCATAAAATCTGATTTGAGGTGATTAATTGATATAAATGTGTGTGTATACATATATACACACACACACACACAGAGCCAGGATTAAAGAATTTTACTTTAAATGATTACAGCATGTTGGAAACCCCTAAGGTATGAGATGCTGGGACAAGGGGAATGTGGCATTGTGCTGGAAGGCTGGTCAGCATGGGCTAGAAGACTGGCGGGTATCCAGACCATCATGTCCTTCTTGTGTCAGCAAAGCTAAGCCTGAGAAACAGGCAAGATTAGAAAGGGAGGTAAATTTTAATACCTGATAATGCAGACCCGTGGTGATGAGTGTGCGCCTGATTGGCTAAATACTAAGAGAGTAGTTCACTGTTTAATAACTAACAAGGAGGGGAGGGGGCCTGTTTGTATCAATAAAAATGAATTGTGTCTGGCACTCAGGACATGAGAGGCCTTGAACCCCCTGGTACTACTTCTCTTAAACCGTATTTTGTATCTGTTCATTGCAAAGTTTTTTCAGTCCTTCTCAACCCTGTTCACCGGAGCTGGTCTCTAGCAAGAGCATAATGAAACAAAAATCAAAACATTTTATTTATACAATTATTGGATATTTTGCTTTTCAGAAAATGATGAAGGAATGCATGGTGAGACTTATATATTGTGAAATGCTTGGATATGATGCATCTTTTGGCTATATACATGCAATCAAATTGGCACAACAAGGAAATCTTTTAGAAAAAAGAGTAGGTATGTATTTAAATCTTGTATACTTTAATATGGCCCTTAATGTCCTAGCTACCATATAAAATGAATGATTACAAACACAGTATGTTTATAGAAACACTACTATATAATTTGCAAAGCTTTAAAATATATCACTGCAAAAACCAAAGCCTATAAGTAGAATCAGTTTACCTGACTCATTTTTGAGGTTTAGAGAAGATTACAAATTTCCTGTTCTTGTATTGGTATTTGTTTAGATGGCTATATACACTTGCCAGAATTCATTGGATTGTATAGTTAAAGAAGGGGAATTTTTAAAAAAAAATTTATTTATGCATACAGAACTGGGGTACAGGCCAGAGGTGCAGGGGCGGTGAGAGGATTCACCAGAGACAGAGTGGGGAGCAGAACAGGCCGACTGATGAAGTACATTGCTGAGGGGACCAGCAGTTGGGTCAGGGGAGGTCTGCCATGCCATGTGGGTCACCTCCCAGACCAGGGATCAAACTTATGCTGAAGTGCTTTAGGTTCTTAGTGTTGCATTTACCCGCTGCCCACCAGGGAGGGCCCAAGAAGGGAAATATGCGTAAATTATATCTCAAAACTAATTTTAAAGTTTATCTAACCTTATTATAGAATACAGCTGAAATTGGCTTGAATAATTTTGAATTGCCAGTTCTTACTTTCACAGATGTTAACTAAGAGAATTAGAGCCTTTGAGAAAATTTTTGTCTCTGTAATCAATACTTAGGGCCATTATGAAAACTCATTTCAAAGGTTTAAGTCTCCTTTATCAGCTTCTTTATCATTCTCAAGAATGAAGCCCTTTAGAATATTACAGAAATACAACATGTTCTTTATTCGGAGAAGGTGATAGTGTTATGTGAAGGACCAGCATTTTTCAGAAGTTTATATGAACATGTTGTCAGATGATGGGGTGGCTGGGAGATGTCTTGATAAAGATGCTGGGCCTGTATACCCACAGTATTCCACTTATTGAACCCATTCCATCCAAAATACTCTTTTCTCTACTTGTATTGCTTCCTCCAAGAAGACTGTCCTCTAGCATCCTCTCTCTTTTCAATATTCAAAATTAAATTTTAATTTTCTGATTACTCAGATGGCTGTTACCATCTGTAGCCTGGGAGTTGTCTTTTCATGTAGGAATATCTTAGTCCTAAGCTAATTCTAAGATCTCTAAAGGCAAGGAATTTGAAGATAGTATTTTATATAATTGTTGCTGCTGCTTAGATTTTCATGTAACTGTTTTCATTTATAATTTAATTTTATTTTAAAGTATGTGAAGTGTTAAAATATTTCCAAAATTAAGAAGATCTCATACAAAGGTATATTCGCAATATCTCATTTCATCTGTTGCTCCTCTGTCTAATGTACCCTTTCCTTATTAGTTTCTGACTAGCGTTTTCATGATTTCTTTTTGAAAAAACAAGTAAACACAGTCTCTCTAAAACAAAGATAGCATATTATATACCCTATCTCTTAACATAAAAGATTGTTTACAACTTGTTTTACCCCTTTAAATTTTGTATACTTGTATAATTTTTATTGGGTGAATGGTATATCATTTTTCTTCAACCTTATTTAGCCCTACTGGTGGACATATGGGTTGTTCTTGAGTTTTTTTCCTTTTATAAATAATGTTGCAGTGAATAAACTGTGTATATGAGTTAATTCATTATCATGGAGACTTTTCTTAGTGGAGACCTAAGTCATTTTTTACTGATTCTCAGGTTTCTCGTCGGAAAGTAATTTGCAGCCAACTAGACATATTTGCAGACATTAGACAGTCTGTGTATGTGCTTATCAGTGGAAGTTATTTTTAAATAGCATTTAAACCTTCTGTCTTTACTCTGGTACCACTGCCTCATCTACTCTGTTGAGATTTCTTAGTCTAGCTTTGTGCTTTCTTTGATGGAGAATATCTTCTTATTTTTTATATGTGTTGTTGAATAAATAAATTTCAATACCCATTAAGGCAGGCAGTAAGTTAGGTTCTTTATCTTGTGAGGTAGCACTCGTCTTCATTTTACAGATGAGAAAATTAAGGCTCAGAAAGGTTAAGTTACACACCCAAAGTCAGAGAACTAATACATAGTGGAACCAGAATGTGAATGAAAGTTTATATGAGTCAAAGCTTATATTCTTACACTATCCTCCATTTTTAATATATATATATATATGTGTGTGTGTGTGTGTATGTGTGTGTGTGTGTGTGTGTGTGTGTGTGTGTGTGTATCAATGTACTCAATAAACATAGTTTAGTTTGGTTTTCCTGAAGCCTTTTTCAGTTTTTGAGTCACGGAGTATTTTTCCTCCTGTTTCCCGATGTTTAAAGTAGGGTATTTTTGAAATGGTCTTTGGGTTAGTTTATCTTATATCCTGATCATGTGTGATTTTTAATTTGATCATGTGTGATTCCTTAGCTAAACAGATAAGGTGTCAGAAACTCTTAAGCTCTGCTTTAAATGTTCTTTGTGGTTTTTCTCAATTCTTTCTTGGTCCTGGTTAGTTCTTTTCTTTCTCATGATTGTGGGAGTAATAGCTCTGCTCCTCTGACCTTCATTGAAGATGTTGTGTTGTATCATGCTGTAACATCTTGACTGTGAGAATAGCCCACAGTTTTTTCATGTTACCCTACAGGTGTAGTCAGTATGGATGACATGAGTTTGATCCCCACCGGGGAGCTAACCCATGATCCAGCAGACCTCTCCTGTCTCACCAGTTGCTCCCCTTAGCAGTGTACCTGCTTGTTCTGCTTCCCACTCTGTCTGGTGAATGCGTTTACCTTCCCCTCACCCCACACCTCTGCCCTATACCCCAATTCTAGTATGCATAAATAACTAAAAATAAATCTAAAAAAAAAGAATTGAGAAAATTGAAAAACAATTTTCAAGGAGGAAGTCAAGGAATAATGCTTCAGGGTATACTGTAGGAGAGACAGGACAGCCTGGGGTTAAAAACATCTGACTGCTGCTCATTGTTTGTGTCCTTGCTTCCCCGTGTAGTAATTGTAGATCTTGGGCAGTTATATTTTTTGGGGCCTCATCATGCTTAGAGTAATACCTATCTCGTAGAGTTTTAAGTCTTAGATGAGATGAGATGACCCGTAGTAACTGTCAAATAAGTACTAGCTACTACCAGTGTGAGAAATGACAGAAAATGATGTGGACCATCTAGATTCCATGCATATGGTATTTGCGTTGTCAGCAATATTAATGTTTTTTCAGTATAGTAAGATGTACATCTTTATGTTTTAATATTATTCAAATGAAAATGCTTATTTAAGTCAGTGAGTACAGTTAATGCAGTAGACAATTTTTCCCCCCTCAACTGCTATTCATTCATTAGTGTATTTTCAAATGGGGACAGTAAGCTATTGGTTCATTTAATGTATGATTTACATTGTATGGTTTGGTTGGTAACTTATTCAGTATTATAAATGGCAAGTAATTCACTATTAAGTGTAGTGACTACTACTATACCTGAGAGGAGAAAGCAGACAATGTACAAAAATAAACAATTATGTAAAAAAAAAAATAAAATAAAAAATTTAAAATGTAGTAGTTTTTGAATAACTATATGTTTGACTACACGGTAGAGATATTTTGATTGATTATGAATTTGCACAAAAATTCAAAGGCATATATTCCTGACATCATATATAGGACATTTTTTTGGTATATATTGCCTATTTTCATTTCAAACATATCCTGTGAAATACATAATTCTAAAAAATGTCAGAATGAATAACACCTGAAATTGTCCTTACTGAAATTTTTGCACCTAATATTTTGCAATTTTTTTTTAAAAGATTTATTATTCATACAGAATTGGGGTACAGGTCAGAGATGCGGAGGGTGAGAGGATTCACCAGAGACAGAGTGTGGAGCAGAACAGGCAGATCGATGACGTACACTGCTGAGGGGAGCAGCGGGCGGGTCAGGAGAGGTCTGCCACGCCATGTGGATCTCCTCCGGGGCAGGCGGGGATCGAACTCATGTGGAAGTGGCTTAAGCTTCTTAGTGCAGTGCTTTAACCCACTGCGCCACCAGGGAGGGCCCTGCAATTTGTTTTTATATTGATGTGTAACTGGTATGTTTGTGTAACTTTGGAAAAGTTACTTTGGGCAGGCAATAATGAGATTTTTCTCTTAAACTTTTATAGGTTATTTGGCTGTATCTTTATTTCTACATGAAAGTCATGAACTGCTGCTTCTCCTTGTGAACACAGTTGTAAAGGTACTGTATGTTGATTAATTTGAAGTCTTAAATTATCCCTGCAGGCATGTGACATCTCCCCTTAATCATGTTGCATTAGATATTTTTGAAAGAAGGTATGCTTATAAGGGGCTTATAAAGATCATTCAGATCAGTTTCTCCATTTGTGAAATGAAGATAATGATAGACCTTAGCCAAATTGTAAGGGTTACCTACTTCTATTTTATTGTTTCATTTAAAAAAGCAAAATTAGAATTATAGCTCATCTCTCCAAAGATGCACGTATCTTTCATTTTGTTACCTTTTTCTCTAGGATCTGTTCTAAAGGAATATAGATTTAAACTGAATGACTGAAGTCTTAAGTTTTAGGTCATTTTAAAGGACAATAGAATACAATTGGATAAATGAAATATGCACATGATAAAAGCACAGTTTAATCCACACTACCGTTATTTTTCTTGTTAAACTTTTGATCAAAATTGTTGTGACATATGATTGAATTGTTGAGCTTTCTCATGTTTATCCTGTGTCAATCTTTATTCTTTCTAATGAAACACCTTTATTCTGTCTAATGTTAATCTTTTATATGTTAGTATGAATATGTAGGTAGCATTTTTGAATTTTGAGTCATAGACTATTTTAAGGTGTTACTAGTTGTTTAAATTTTGCCAAAGGGATCAAAAACATATTTTCAAGCTTTATTAGAATGACTTAACAAATTTTTGCAATAAAAACATATGTGAATAAATGTGTGTGAATGCATGTGTTTTATTGTATATACTTGAGAACTTCTTCCTTTTAAACTTCCAATAATGTTATTAATAAAAAAAAATTATAAAATTGGTTACTGATTTGGAAGTTTTAAAGACTGTAATAAAGAAAACTACTTTGTCCAGTGTTAGAACAAATACAATGACTTTTTGGCTATGTTTGTCTCTTGGGTCTATTAAGCCAAATGAAACAGGTATATTCCATAAAATATGAGAGAGACTAACTATACAAATTAATTATATAGTTGGTGGAAAACTAGCAAGGGTGTAGGACCATTGATTGCATTGTTCAGCTCACCATCCAGAGTGAGCACTAAATGTTTTCTTTGTTTAATAATTGTATCAGGACTTGCAGAGCACTAATCTGGTAGAAGTATGTATGGCACTTACTATCGTCAGCCAGATTTTCCCTCAAGAAATGATTCCTGCTGTTCTACCATTAATAGAAGATAAGCTTACACATTCTAAGTAAGTAAATTGTTTTTAGATAGGTATTTATGCTGTGTATTTAAAATAAAAATTATTATAACTTAATACCACCAAGGTTGAGGATATTCTTTAATTGTTAGATACAATGAAAAGCCTCAGAAGGATTGTTCTTTATTTTTATGTGGGTTTATAAAAACATCAAGGAGGGCCCTCCCTGGTGGCGCAGCGGGTTAAAGCACAGCACTGAGAAGCTAAAGCCACTTCCGCATGAGTTCGATTCCCGCCTGCCCCGGAG